CTTATCTATTGTTTCTTTTTTGTCTCTAAATTTATATATTTAACAATTTGTCAACCAAGGAAACTTGAGAGTTATACTTTGTTTTTTCATACCTAGGAATGATGTTTTCTTTTGTGGATGAGACAAACTTGATCAAGTAAAATTTGTGGGGTCATGATAGTTTTAATTTGTGTCTTAAGTGTTTTAACTTTTTTCATTTGTAAGTACTCTATTTTGGTTTGTTTGTGGTTTCTTGTGTACTTGTTGGACTATTTTTTCTTCTATTCTCTTTTTGAGACAGAGCCTTGCTCTGTTGCTTCAGGTAGAGTGCAGTGGCGTCATCATAGCTCACTCCAACCTCAAATTTCTGGTCTCCAGTGATCCTTATGCCTCAGCCTTCTGAGTAGCTGGGACTAGAAGTGCAGGCCACCATGCTTGGCTAATTTTTCTATTTTTAGTAGAGATGGGGTCTCGCTTTTGCTCAGGCTGGTCTCGAACTCCTGAGCTCAAGCAATCATCCCACCTTGGCCTCCCAGAGTGCTAGGATTACAGGTGTGAGCCACCGCTACCAGCCTATTTTCTCTTCTCCTTGATATTATCTTTTCTATATTTATTTTGCTTGGTATACCTAGGTCTTAATTCACCTCAAGACAATTTTATGTAATTATTTATTGTTCCTTCTTAACCTGCTAGTCGCAATATGCAGATTGGATTCAATTCCTTTGTCCTCTGTGTTGTTTTTCATTTCTCTCATTCTTTCATCCTTCACGTCTGAGAACTTTGTAAGTTTTTTCCAATCTGTCTTCCATTTCATTAAGTGATATTTTTTTCATGATTCAGTCTTGAATATTCCCATTGTATTTTTAATTTGGCCACATTCTTTACTGACTCCATATTATTCCCTCTTTATCATCAAAATTATTTTCATTCTATTTGTTCAATATCTTTTTGAATTTTGTTGTGAACATCAATCAGTAATTGCCCAAGATTTATCATTTTATTCCTATAGATAGAGTTTCATTTCCCTAAATATTATATTCAGGCAGGAGTTGAAATGTACTTCTTACAGAAATTAGTGTGATTTATGTATAATTTCTTCCACTAAGAAGAGAAAAGAAAGAGAATTCTACATTCATTCTACTTCAGATTCAGCAGTTTTGAGATCTGACAGTTGGAGGGGGTGGGTGGGAACTCTGTTGGTGTCCCACCCTGATCCCATCAGACACTTGTCCCAGCCCTTGCTCCTCCCGTCCCAGCTCCTGCACACTTAGCTGCTGAGGCTCACACTGGAGACCTTCAGTAGATTATCCTTAGACAAAGGGGCTTTCTCTTTCCTGGGGAGAGCAGGGTAAGTACTTGGCAGTTCTTCACTTTCCCCTCATCTTGTAGATGTGACTGGTGTGGGTGTGCAATGGCCTAGCTACTCTGCCTCAAGGCTGGACAAACTCCGAGGTGTAATTTATGCTCCACTTTTACCCACAGGATGGGGCTGAAGCTGGGACTTTACCTGAATTTGCACCCCTGCCTGGCTTCTTTCCTTTTCCTGTCCTTCTCCCCCTTCTCACATCCTCTTATTGATTTCTTCTGAGAGCAATTCTTACTAAATTATTTGCTCCCAATCTTTAGTCAGAGTCTGCTTCTGAGAGAACTTGACCTCAGATGGTGGGTCAGGGCTCAAGAAGGAGGTGAATATCTTCTTAGGCCCTGCCAGGACAACCCTTTGCTTCCTGCACCGCCAGTGCCCGAGGGAGCTGCCCCAGAGTCTGTTCTCTGCTTCATGGTTCATTTGCTCCCTATTTTGCGAGGTGTCGGTGGTGGTTGGCTTTCAGCATCGGCCTCTTTCATAGAATGAGGAGTTTTGCACCAGCCCTTCAGGGTTTCTTAAGCTTGATTCCATCTGCTGTATTTATAACAAAATTTGCTGGAAGTTTCTCACCTGGGGATGGAACTACTCCAAGTTTTTGGCTCTTTTGCTGGTTTTCTTCTGTTTCTGTTATGCACAGGTTATGATGGTGTTTGTGCAACAGTATGTAGTTATATTACCATCTTGCTAGTAAAATTCTCCAAAAGGTTATTTTTTTCTTGTTGAAAATTTGAAGAAAAATATGATTTAAAATGCACAGAAACCTGTAATAAATGACTAGAACTAGAGACGTT